AGCGCCCAGGAGCATAAACATTCCACTGCATTATTGTAAGTGCTGCTTAGCAGAACATACCAGCTATTGCATGGACATGAAGGCATTTGTGGTATCCATGCATCAGCCTAACCCCAGGAAACCCAGACACAAGATAAGGCTCAGCAACCCACCATGTGGCTAATGGACAATTCTTCTAACCTCAACGTCAATCTCTTCACTTTGAAAATGAAGCCAGTGAATAGAGTTATCTCTAAAGTTGCTTAAACACCACTCAAGTTTCTTGATTTTGGGATCAATAGACATCACTCTTATAATTATAATATTCTAATTATAAGAATGTGGCCAATTTCTCTCTAAGGCAATTTGCGCATCTGTAAAGTAGAAGTAAGGCTAGTAACTCTTTATTCACATGACATAACCCATGTAAAGCATTTAACACAATGCTTACAACATAGAAAGTACTCCTATTATCTGCTTATCATCATCATCATGTTATTATTATAAAAATCACTACTTTATTAATACTGATGTTAGTAATAAATACCAAAGTATTCATTGTACACTTACAACTTATTTTGACCTTCACTTGATGTCACAAGACTACCTGAAGGGACCAAAAAGGATCATTAGGGAACACCTCTGTAAAGTCCCAAAAGGCAAATGTCTCTTCACCAACTGACAGGTGAGTGGCAGCTATGGGCCAAGAAAATCTCATTCCACATTTATTGCATCCTGATCGTATCATGGTGAAGTGTTTAAGAAGCAATAAAAAAAATCACTCTCTGGCCATAATAGATTAATGTACCAGCAGGCAAAGCCTCAAGACACTACCATTTGATGGAGTGGTTCATTTTAACCTGACCTAAAAAGTGCCACTTTTCCACAGCACTTTAGTGTCTAGCCATTCATAATTAAAGTGTGTGTAGTAGGGAGGAAGATAAAGGTCCTGGCTGGACTAAAGACAATAATTTCTCAAAAAAAGTAAAAACATTTTTCACTAATTCTCAAACTAAAACTCATGAGATATGTATTTTTTAAATCAGTATCCCCAGTTTTAATTGAAATGGCTTCATTTGGCTCTGAGAGCAAACAAACATTGTGTTTTTCCAAAAGAAGTATTTCCACTGATGGTTTACCAGATCACCTTTTCAGTTTCAATGGAAAACAGATGATAATCCAGTCATTGGATAACATTCTAATTAATGAAGGAGAAGAATGAGCAGAACAGTGTTTTTATGTTTTGTTTTAATATATTATATTGATTTTTTTTTTTTTTTTTTAACAGAGAGGAAGGGAGAGAGATAGAGAGTTAGAAACATCATTGAGAGAGAAACATGGATTCAGCTGCCTCCCGCACACCCCCTCCTGGGGATATGCCCACAACCAAGGTACATGCCCTTGATTGGAATCCAACCTGGGACCCCTCAGTCCACAGGACGATTTTCTATCCACTGAGCCAAACCAGTCAGGACCAGAACAGTGTTTAATACATAGAAGTCATTGGTCATTGAATAATTATTTGTTGAATGAATAAATGGATGGCTCTGTGTCATCCCACATTTTACTTAATTTTAATCTCTCTGAGCTTCATTTTTTTTTTCATTTCTAAATAACTCCTACCTTTTGAGGTCAGTAGAAAATCACCAAAGACATGATGTCGATAAGCAGGCATGGAATATGGGCTCAGTTAACAGTTGTTATTGTGATAATATGGCTCTACAGCCTGCTCCCAAAGCAGCCTTGTCTTCATGAAAACATCACTTTATCCCGTGGAGAGATCAGTACAAATGCCTTGATATCCTCTGGCAATTTTCAGCATGACAATTAGATTCATGAGGGAAGCAAATTATTGCTGTTTACTCATGGGATTTGGTGTGTGTCAAATCCTCATGGGATTCTGGTCAGCAGTTCCTCTAGATGTAAAAATTTCTCACAAACCAGTGGAGGTAGCACATATCAGTACAGTCTTTGCAGGAAGCAATGTGACTGTGCATAGGAAGAACTTAAACCCTTTGGTGTTAGGATTCTCCTACTGGGATGAGTCAGAAAGAATGTACCCCAGGTGCAGTAACTAGAATATTAATGACATCATTATTCCTATGTAGTCAAAATGCTGCAATCCCCTTAATATCCAACAGTATGATAAATTCAATGGGTATATTATTATGCAGCCATTAAAAGTCATGATATGAAAATGTTCAGGATATTTTGTAAAGTTAAAAATTAATAAGATACAATACCATATTCTTGTATTTTCCAAATTTTATTCATAAAGCAAATTAAAATGCACTATGTATGTGATCAAAATATCTTATAGTAGTAAAATTATGGGCAATTTTTATTTACTTTAATTTTTTTCTGTAGACAGAATATTTTTCACAGAACAATCATATATATATATATACCTCATATGCTAATTGTCCCTCCAGCTGTTTGACCATTTGACCATTCGTTATGACAGGCACTGGACACCAGGGGCAGATGCTCTGACCAGTCGGTTAGCTTGCTGCTGAAATCCAGCAGATCGAGACTAGATGAGATGGGCCAAGCGCGCCCTGAAACTCTCCTGTGCCCTCCCTCCACCCTGCCCCAATAGTGCACCAATGGGGTCCTTTGGCCTGGCCTGCACCCTCTCACAAACCAGGACCCCTCAGGAGATGACAAAGAGCCAGTTTCATCCAAATCCCTGCAGACTTGGCCAAGGGACCCCACTGGTGCACAAATCTTCTAGTTTGTTAATAATCAGACAAAATGTCATTAGAACATATAATATACAAATCATGGGGGCTTATAGAAAGTGAAAGTATCTTCTCAAAGTATAGATGAGTGAGGATTTCTTGCTTTCCCAAAATTTGGCAGCTCTTCTGCTTCTTGGGTCCTTCCTGTGTGAGTGAAATAGTCCTGTTGAGAAAACATATCCTGAGGTGTTGAAGTATTATTGGACATTAGATTTATGCACTTGGGGGAGAGGGGGGTCCCTCAGGCAGGCCTGTGCCCTCTTACAAACTGGGAGCCCTCAGTGGAATTCCTACGGATGGCTTAGGCCTGCTCCCCTGGGAGGAATGGGCCTAAGCTGTCAGTCAGACATCTTTAGCACTGCTGCAGAGACAGGAGAGACTCCCACAACCATTGCTGTGCTAGCCAGCTGTGAGCCCGGCTTTTGGCTGAGCAGTACTCCCCCTGTGAGAGTTCACTGACCATGAGGGGGCAGCTCCTCACTGAGCGTCTGCCCCCTGGTAGTCAGCACAAATCATAGCAACCAGTCATTCCACTGTTTGGTCAATTTGCATACTAGCCTTTTATTATATAGGATGTTAGCTTGAAAATGTCATCATTGTAACAAGACACCATGGGAGAAGACTTCATACTGCTAAATAATTTCATGATGGTGATACTGAACCATCAGTGGGATATCTATTTCAGACATATTTCAGATAAGCCTCTAAGACAGACATTGTGAACAGTTTACCAAGTCTGTGTTCTATTTTGTCTTGGACACATGAGACTTCTTTTTGTTTTGGGTGGACATATTCAATGATTTCTAACATAAAATGAGAGTAGAAACCATTTTGCCACTTCAAAACCATGTTTGCCACTGCTGTAATAAATAGGCCCATAAACACCTTCCATGCACACTTCTCAAGGTCTTTTTCTCTTTCTAGATAAGACAATCATAGAGACTTTAGAAGGTACATATTGAACATAGCCAATATGTTCATTAGCCTCTCTCCCTTAATGATTCTCAGGAGAAGGACCATCAGTTAATCTGTACATCAGTTAATCTGTTAGATGAACAAGAAATAGACTACATTCTGGTTTTTTTTGTTTGTTTGTTTTTACGTATTGAGGGGCCTATTTGTTACAGCAGCAAGAGAAAACCTACCTAATACAACCACATTGTCTATCATGTACACTTAGCTGTATACATGGCCTTGCCAAATTCATTCTTGACGAACAGTTGGAGATACTGCTTTTGTGGATGAACCACTCCATGATTAAAGGTAGAGAATAGTCCATTTGTACCATTTTTAAGTTGACACATAAAATCAATCTTCACAATTTGCTTGCTTGCTTTTTTGCTCATTTTAAAATTAAATTATTTATTTATTTTTGGTCTTTGGGGGTCATTATTTCCACAGGGTTCATCTAATCCAAAACCTGTGGTGATCTGGAATGTTCCAAACTCACACACCAGCTCTCCCAGGGGCTACCTAATAATAGTGCTTTACCTCAAAGCCTCCAGTTCTGCCTGTATAAATGGAGATACCCAAGTCATAGGTTTATTATAAAAATTAAGTGGGAGAAAAACACACTGACAAGTCCTCTAACCACAGGTTTATTTTGAAATTATTTAAAAATCTGTTTATGGATCAGAGTTCCCACTTTTCAAACAAATGATCAATACCCATGAGTCATAGATAATTCTACCCAGGAGACAAAGGTGGAAATTTATTAACTTCAGGCCTGGTTTTTTTCAGACCCTCCCCTCCAGAAATTAGAAAATTGTGTGGTCCTGCCTTATTCAAGGTCAAACTGTTACAAATTTTTAACAGACATTAGGAATGACTCCTGGTAGAAACTTCTTGGGCCAGGCCACTTATGACCCAAATGGAGCACCCATTTTCTCCTTGAACTAAAGGTTTTCTGGGTCAGCAAATCTCCAGAGAACACAGCACCAAGATCTAGCGAAGCCCACATCATAGGTATCTTGCAATATGCTTGATTTATGAAAACCAAGTAATTTCCTCGTGCTTCATTGATAATAAACATATGTGTTCTTATAAGCAGCATTATAGTTTTATATGTAAAGATTTTTGCATCTGCAATTATTTTTGTCTTCTTGTGAGAATTGAGACAAGAAAACTTTATAGTGTGCCTTTATTCTCTTTGTAATAATGGCTGGATGGTTAGCTTTCTTGGTGCAGCTTTCCATGGTAGACAGCTCTATTTTTAAAAAATGTGCAAAAATTAATTTTATGAACACTTTGTTCATATTGCTTCTCTACCACTTTTTCCAGGAATGCCCCAGCGGTGTTGTTAACGAAGAAACCTTCAAAGAGATTTACTCACAGTTCTTTCCACAGGGAGGTGAGTACGAGTGAGGACTTGTTAATGTACTCTCAGTTAGAATTATGCTTGCAATCACTTTTTCTTTTTCTTCTTCCACCTGGTGCTGCTTTGGCCTTGGGGAGGGGCAATGTGGTAATCAAGTAGCTGTCTCTCTGGCCCTTCGTCCACACTCTTTCTTGGTCTCTGTGAGGCAGGCTGAGCTTCAGCCTCAACCCCATGTTCTAGAACTTTCTCTGTGGTGTTTGCTCATGAGTAATTGTTCATTGTTCTTCTGTGAGGGAGAGTGAAGAAGGCATTGACCTACATGGCCGTTTGGTGAGGTCACTTCTCTTTGGGTGTTGATCTTGCATCCTAATCCTTTGCAGACTACTTATGTTGGCAATCTTCAGTTCAATTCATCTTTCATGGCATGACTACATTTTTAATCATGATGAAGAAAAATTAACACACACCATGCAAGAGCACATGAGTTTCACTATATCCTAAAAGCAAACTACTTACAAATTAGCAACTACCCACGAGCTTGGTCTTTAGTTTAACACAAGTGGTATCATTGGTGCCTAGTACTATGGCTCTCAAATGCACAGTACTTTTGTTGTTGTTATTTTTAAAATTTATCTTTATTGTTGAAATTATTACAGATATCCCCTTTGTCCCCCCATTGACCCTTTGCACAGCACTTTCTGACTATGACAGCCTGGTCCCATGCCTCCAGGCTCTCCCATGCATTATCGGTGTCATTTGATTCTCCCAACTCTCAAAATTAGGACACATGTAATTATCCTCGATTTACAGATGCGAAATCTGGGGCTGAGAGAAATTAAATGGCTTGCTGGGGGCCACACATCCATTAAGTGGCAGATCTGGGTTAGAAACTAGATTTCTTTAGAGCCTCACCCAGGGTCCTTTCTGCTGTTTTTCTATTTTTAGGTGACCCTACTATGGCCACCCTCCCCCCATCTGAGAAAAATGAATGCCACTCTAGACATTATGTTAATTGGAAAGGAAACAGGAGTGCAAAATGATAATGCATAGGTGCTAGAGATGAATGAAAGCCACTGGACCTTTATGTTTGTCCTTCAATCGCCCATCAGGATGCCCAGCTCAGATGTGTCACACAACCAGTCTACTGCGTGGCCAACTATGTGTTAGGTGCTGGTAGTGTAAAAGTAATGAGATGTGGTACCTGCCCCCAAAAAATGTTCTAGTCTAGTGTAGCATGTGGGCCATGTCGAAATAAAGTGTGTGAGGATAGAGAGTTAAAAAATATTATTGTGGGAGCAGAGGTGGGACAATTGGAGCAGCTGAAGGAAATGGGGGGAAATGAAAACGAGGCCATCCAGACAAACTGAGTCTGGGCTGATATAGTCACCATTTATCAGGCATCTGACATGTGTTGGACCCTGCCATGCATTACCCTTCACCTTCCAACAACCCCAGAAATGATTCTCCCTTTTTAATAAATGCAGAAACTAAGGTACAGAGAGGTTCATCCATTTCCTTTTCAATAACTTTTTTTTACTACTGTCCACTGAAAAAAAAAATCACTATCATCTCATGCCAAAATAACTCAACAGTCTCTAAATTCACCTCCCTGATTCTGACTGTCCTCCTTGCTTACCTAGCATAATTGATTCTCAACACAAACTGAGTGATTCTGCCAGGTCATGTTACCCCTCTGCTCTATTTGTTCCATCAGGACAGAGGCCACAACCTACATAGGACCTACACTTTGAGCTCACTGGTGTCCTGCTCACTTATCCTTCACCATTCTCCCTGTGGACTCACTAAGTTCCAGTTACACTGGCCTCTTACCCTTCATTCCCCCAACATGGCCATCATATTGCTGCTCCTGGGGCGTTTGAACTTACTGTTCCTTCTGCTTCGAACTCTCTTCTCTCAAATATCCATTCAACATCTCACCACCTTTGCTTTTATTCAAATACCACCCTCCCTTAAACTGCAACCCCTTAATCATTCCCCTTTCCCGTTCCCTGCTTTATGTTTTTAGCACTCAAGAGCACCTAATGGTATATACCACTGGTCAGCAAACTCATTAGTCAACAGAGTCAAATATCAATAGTACAACGGTTGAAATTTCTTTTGAGAGCCAAGTTTTTTAAACTTTTTCTAATGCCACTTCTTCAAAATATTAGGTCTAGTAATAATTAATGTCGTTTTCTAATACTTTTTTTAAATCGAATTTATTTAAACAATACAACAAAATTTAATCAACAATATAGTTGCTGTTGTTTTCTACTACTTGTGCCCAATTCTCAGGAAGCATTTTAATCCCTCTGTTGTAAAATTCTTGTGATTTTGATGCAAAAAATTCGGTCAATGCATTTTTGAGGCATTCTTCATTATTAAATTTTTTTCCAAGAAGAAAGTTTTGCAAAGAACGAAACAATGGTAATTGGAAGGGGCAATATCAGGAGAATATGCAGGTTGAGGGAGAACTTCCCATTCCAACTGGGGCAGTTTTTCAGCAGTGATTCTTGCAGTATGCTGTCGTGCGTTATCGTGGTGAAGAATTACGCCCTTCCGATTAATCAGCGTGGGTTCTTTTTCTCTTAAAGCTTGGGCTAACCTTTCCAATTGGGCAATATACACTGCACTTGTAATGGTTTGGTTAGATGGTAAAAGTTCATAATGAAGAATTCCTTTAAAATTCCACCAAACACACAACATCACTTTTTTCGCATGCAAGTCAGGTTTTGGCGTGGGCTGCGGAGCCTCATTTTTGTCCAACCATTGAGGCCGCCTTTTCAAATTAACAGACAGCACCCATTCTTCATATCCAGTAACAATTTGCTCTAAAAACAGCAAATGGTTTTGACGAGAGAGGAGCGAACTGCAAATTGTGACTCTTTGATTACGGTTGTTGTCGGTCAACTCATGAGGAACCCATTTTCCAAACTTTTGGACTTTGCCAAGTGCACACAATTGATTGGAAATTGTTTTTTGTGAACAATTTAAAGTTGTCGCAAGCTCTTGTTGGGTAATTTGAGGATTTTGCACCAAAAGAGCTTGAAGAGCTTCTTGATCAAAATTGGACACACGGCCTCGACCACTCTTGTCATCTAACAAAAAATTTCCCTCGCGAAATTTCTCAAACCAGCGCTGGCATTTTCTGGCGCTAACTGCATCTTGACCAAGAGCACTACAGATGTTTTTTGCAGCCTCACTTGCTTTTCTTCCTAATTGGAACTCGTAAAGCATGCAGTGCCGAATATGCTCTTCATCCGCCATCTTCTTAGCCCTAGTTTTGCAACAAAAACCAAACCAAACACAAACTTTTTCAAGCAAAACTTGTTAATTGCACTTTACACGTTCTGTAGATACCATGTGTTTGAAGGTTATGTCAATACAAGTCAACGCCAAGCAAGATTTTAAACGAATGTTTTTAAACGACATTAATTATTACTAGACCCGATAGACTCGCTCAGGTTGTGGTATTTTGTGGAAGAGCCACACTCAAGGGGCCAAAGAGCCACATGTGGCTTGTGAGCCGCAGTTTGCCAACCACAGGTATATACTATTTAACCTCTTTTTGTTATAATTTATTGTCCCTTTCCCCACTGGAATGTCACCTCCAGGGGAGCGCAGAAGGTTTTGTCTGTTTTGTTCACTGCTGTATGCCCGGCAGTGTAACAATGGCTGACAAGTAGCAGAACTGAATAAGCACTCCTAGCTTACCTGAGTGAACAGGTTAATGACTGAGTGACATCACCTCACCTGGTGGCTATAGCCATACAATGGAGTCATTGCTATCATAGGCATTTTGAAAGTTTACAGCACCTAAACATTAATTATTTCCTTCAAAAATTAGATTCTCTTCTGGATTTCAATACAGTTGGTATTAGAAATTTCAGTGGGTTGAAAGTGATTTTGTGGATTGTCAAAATAGAAATTTTCATTTAAGATGGCCTATTAAGAGAAGTTAATTAGAATTCAATTCTGAGAAAAAACACTTTCCCCCATTATTATAGGAATTTAGACACGCCATATGAGACAACTTTCCTCGCCCATCTCATTAACCAATGGGCCCACAGACAGGTACTGATTGGTCATGGAGACCACTGCCAGATTGTAATGGTCCCAGTGTCAGCATTAATAAAGAATTTGGAATATTATTTTATTAACTCTTATATTTATAGATTATTAAAAACCATGGAATTTTTAAAGAAAAATCATGCTTACTATATATTTAAGTGTCTGCCAACATACTGATAGGAAATAATACCAAAGTACCTAGCACAAATGGAAATCTTTCTTTTTTATTATCTCCAATGAAAGTTATTAGATGATACAAATTAGATACACTTCCACATTAAAAATTAATTTTCACTTGAAAAATAAAATTTGGGCATTAAAGAACATTCACTTAAGCACAATTCTTCTCAAGGGATTCTTGTTACAAAACCCAAAGGGATTTTGAGAAAAATTACTGTTGTACTCTTAAAAATCCTTTGACTGTGCACGCTAATTGAATGCATAAATCTAAAAGTACCAGGCATAAATAAAGGAAATTAAATATTTTCAAGAATAATGGCTTGCCATTTAAAAAAATTACTATCATGCATGCAAATTGGATCTTGCAACCCTCCTACTAAAGGGGAAAAGGCCTAAGGAAGATCGCCATCTCCATGGCAGGAAAATTCATACTACGGCCATCTTCACTCTCCTGTGAATCCATTTACTTAAGTTGATCTGAACACAACAGGTTTATATCATTCTGAGCAGTAACAATGATGGCTCCATCCATCACACTGTCTCACCATTTCCGCCAGGAAGATGCCTTGTCTCATTGACAGCACCTCCTGCAATTTGTATTGTGTCAGGCTCGTTTTCTCGGCTGCTTAGGAGGTGGTTTACCACGTACAGCTTGTTTGGTGTTCTGGATTTCAGCACAGCTAGATTCAACAGAAGCTTCTTATTTGCAAGGGATAAAGCCTGCCTGCTGTAAAACAAGCCGCGTGGACGCTGAATATTGATGCCTTTACCTAGATCATTACTTTTTCAACTTCACATACAGTGCAAGCTTTAGCAGGATGCTCTGAGCTTACTAAGCATTTTTAAAGATCATAAAATTGCCATTTCCTGGGCTCTTCCTGCTTACGGTGTAAGAATTTTGCACTTACTTTGGCTATACTGGGCAGCTGATAAACAGCTATTGAAGGAAGGAAGGAATGAGCTACAGTTACACAATTCTAAGTCAACAAACATTTATTGATCAGCCACTGTGTTTAAGGAGATGGGTTTGATGGACATAAGATTTTTCTTTTAATTTTTTAAATAACTCTATCACTGAATATCTAGGATGATATTTGTAAGAATTTTCAGTGATTTGTAAAGGGCTTGTTGAACAGAAACTACTATGTATGTATATGAACCTGCCTTTCCATAGCAACGGTACCTCAATATTCAAATACTCTCTATTCAAAAGCCAATTCCATACATTGTGCTTCAATTCAGGTAGGGAGTAGGGATTTGTAGTGGGAAGAAAGAAATAAACTAGATTAGTTTCAATACTCAGATCTGAAACATGATAATCTAATATTCTGTGTATCAATGGTTTTTTTAATGAAAGGGCTAATTGGTATGTATCATCATTGTGGTCTGGAAATAATTAGGTTAAGGTCACTGGACTAAGTCAAGAGTTTGTGGCTAGACTATACCAAGACCAAGGTGTGTTACTCAAGTGATTTACTTCTCTGGCCTCAGGTTGTTTCTCTGTGAAATGGGGGGCAACATTTTTATAATATCTATAAAATGTGGAACAAAGTAGCCTCAGCTTTCTTTCTGCTCCAATAATATTTATTTCTAAGAGTTGGCATTGAGATGCCTTGATTTTATTACTGACTCTACCATGAACTAACTAGCTGACCTTAGCTAAGCCACTGAAAGTACCTGCACTTATTGTTAAACATACATAAATAGTTAAGTGATATCCAAGATCTCTTTCTATGTTAAGAACCCAAACAGTTTCCCCCACCTGTAAGATTTCAACTTCCCAAGTAAAATGCTAAAAAACTGAAGCAATCTTGGCATATCAAATTCAGTAGCTGTTTTTGTTATATGTAAGGAAATATGAACTATCAGGTGATATGGGGGAACAGAAACTACTCATATCTTTTGCACCTTGAACTACATTGGAATCTAGAAGTTAGGATTCTATTGTACTTTCTACTTATTCACCCTTTTAGCAAATATTTACTATTACCCTGTTTCCCCGAAAATAAGACAGTGTCTTATATTAATTTTTTCTCCCAAAGTTGTGCTAGGTCTTATTTTCAGGTAACGTCTTATCTTTCCATGCGCTAGGTCTTATTTTCAGAGGATGTCTTATTTTTGGGGAAACACGGTATCTATGAATAATACAGTCAGATGGAACCAGACCACAGGCGTTTTGTGGATAGTTTTTCTTTTCTTCACCCACCTCTATGCCCAGCCAGATTCTTCAGTCCTCAGCTCCTTCCTCTTGCCCAGTCAAAGCACATAGCATCACTCCCCTTCTTTAAAAGCTTACAGCATCTCCAAAAGCCAGCCAGCGATCCAAAGTTCACCTGAATCTTCAATAATTTTTCAGACACAAATCTACTAGTCTATCCAGCATGAAGTATCTAATTAGAATGCCGGTCAGTTAAACATACAACAGAGGGTTTTTTTTTGTTTGTTTGTTTGTTTTTAAAAAAAGGAAGCTTTTCAGGGGAAATATATTACATTTATAAAAATAATTGATCACATGTCTTTAAGGGAGTTGAAATAAAAGGGTCGTGTCTATGAAAGAAAAATACCTAATATTTATGGAACATTTAATATATACCTAGAACTGTTCTAAGTACTTTGCATATAGCATTTCATCTGATCTTTTAGTAATGACTCTATGAAGTACATATTGTTACAGTTTCACAGGAAACTCAGTCACAGAGAGATGAAACAACCTGTCCAAGGTCACACAGTTACTATTTGGTAGAGCTGAGTCTCAAGTTTAGGCAGTCTGACTTCACTATGCTATTAACAACTGCTCTCTGCACAGTGTGCCTATAGGCTGTTAAACCGCTTCGCTTCCCAGAGAATTGCAAAGGTGCACTTAGAAGAACAGGAAGTCCCCTGGATCACGTGAAGGCAGACCTTGAGAGTGAATGTCCCACATGTGAAACTTTAAAGCTAGAGCATTTGAGAAGAATGTCAATTATTTATGCCCCTGTTTGCTAAATCTAAAAAATTCTCAGCACCATTTGTTCTGAGCCATTATTCATAGTGAATTCCACTTGCTAAGGTAAAGGCATTCACTCTGGTTGTATAAATAAGGTAACAAGAGACCTGCTTAATAAAGCTCGTTATAAAATATGCAAAATCTTTTTTTTTTTTTTTTTTAGCCTTGAAAACAAATTAAATATATGACTTGTCATCTCATATCTCCACAGGGCACTAATTTGTTCCAGAACTCTATATAAGAGTACTGTTGAGACCAATACAACTTTGCGAATAAAATAGACTGTTGGTTCTCAATAACTCTGTAATAGAACTTTTTGTTAATTCACTGAGTTGGTTGAATTAACTCCCAGTGCCATATTCAAATATTTCTTCCTACAGCCCATCCATGCCTGATAGACATCCATTCTACATATGGTGTCTTGACATATTATTTGGACCCAATTATAGTAACTGTTTCATTCATTGAAAAGTGTTAGTGATTCATATGTTTAAAAATAAGCAATCACTTGTATCATATTTAGAGCTCCGAGATGAAAGAAAAACCCACCTTCATTTTGAGAAATATATGGCCTTCAATATTGTGAACCACTGGGGTGAAGCATTCAGGAAAAATAATCCATAAGTAGCCTTGGGCACTTGAAAGCAGGGAAGGAAGTTTGCATGACCTCTGACCTCCCTTATGTGGGGAGGACAATTATCCATTCCAGCTACTATGACTTAGTGTTTTGACAACCTTTGAAAAGCAATTCATAAAGTAAAAGAATAGAAGTTTTGTTAAAATTTCAATAAAAATAAAGGTTAAAAGTTCTAAAGCAGAAATGGATTTTTAACGGAAGATGAAAGGTAGAGCCAATGAGCTAAAAGGTTACAAGTTTTGTTAATATAAAAAAAAAGATTAAGGTAAAAGGCTAAAACCCACGAGATGAAACATTTAAAATAATCAAGTAGATTTGATGAAGAGTCAAGCACACAAGCACTTAAAAATGAAAACTGTACACTAAGAAAAGAAAACAGTATGAAAAAGTGTGTGCTTTTAAAATAGGAAAGCACAAAGCTCAGATATTAGGGAGACAAAGGAGAAACAGAAGAGGAAGGAAGAGGTACAAGGGGGGAAAACCTACTAAGGGGAAGAGGTGGATTTCAGAGTACTTTATTGTCTTTACACAGCGTGATAAGACATTGGGGACTCAGCCTTCCAAAGCTGATTCAGAGCCCCAAATCCCACCCAGGACTTAGACAGGGCAGGGGCTCCCTGCTGCTTGCCACCAGGAACTTTTAAGGCCACACAGTCCCCTTCCAACAGGGAGGCAGACACTTGCCAAGTCACTGCTGGCTCAAATTCACTGGCTCTGGGCTAACCTGGATATTTAGTGAGAAAGATCCCAGTTATGTGCCACTCTACTCCTTATTGACTGTGTGACTTTGGGCAAGTGTCTCAACCTCTCTGAGTCTCAATAGCTTACCTAAATTGTAAAATTGAGGAACGACACTAATAATAGCAATTCATCTGTGTCTCGTTAGTAGTATTTTTATTCTTTTACTTCTAGGGATAGCCCCTGCCAAGCACTAACCAATTTCCAGATGGGTCTCACTTAATCCTCCCACCCACCTCTGGTACGATGACTCCTCCTGGAGCCGGTAACATCGTCCAAGACACCCAAGTTTTCAGGTTATTTCTAGCCAGAAAGTTACAGAGATGTCTGCCATGCATGGCCTCTATGTAGGTAGCTCACTCCTGTGAATCTCAAATTACGATCCTCTACTGAAAGGAGATGGTCAACTGGGAAGAAAGTACCAGTTAAAGGAGACAGTACATTTTCCTGACTTGGACTAGAACTTTGGCATGTTATATAATTCTCACATCAGATATTGAAACGCTGACTTAATAATATTCCCTTTTCAACATTTCAGACTCTACAACGTATGCACATTTTCTGTTCAATGCGTTTGACACAGACCACAATGGAGCTGTGAGCTTTGAGGTAAGTCTTAGACTTTTTCTTTAATGTGACTTGACTTCAGAGGAAGGGATTTAATCTTTTTAGTTGGAAAACTTGACTTGATTTTTAATTTTTTTGTTTTGAGCCTTTTATTCACTGTGTGTGTGTTTTTTCTCCATCTTTTTATCAATTGTTGATAGTATTATACATGTCTCATTTTTCTTTCATTGGCCCCTTATTATCCACTCTTCCCCACCCCCCAACCCCAGGCCTCCACCACCCTATTGTCTGTGTCCATGGGTTATGAATATATGAATATATTCCTACACTTTCTTTGGTTGATCTCTTCCCACTCACTCACCCCTTTTATTTTTTTTATTATTATTATTATGGTAAGAATGCTCAACATGAGATCCACCCTTTTAACATTTAAGTGTGAAACGCATTACTGTTGACTACAAGTACAATGTTGTACAGCAGATCTCTAGAACTTAGTGATCTTGCTTGACTGAAACTTTTTACGCCTTTTGACCAGTAACTCCCCATTCCTCCTCCCCCAGGCCCTGGCAACATCATTCCACTCTTTGATTCTATAAATTTGATAGTTTTAGATACTTCATATAAGTGGATTTGTGCAGTGTTTGTACTTTTATGAAGGCTTAGTTCATTTTGCCATTGTTGCACATTGTAGAATTTCCTTATTCATTTTAAGGATGAATAATTTTCCATTCTATGCATATGCCACATTTTCTTTATCCATTCATCCATCCAGGGCCATTTAGATGTTTCTATATCTTGGCTAATGTGATTAGAGCTGCAATGAACATGAGAGGGCTAATATGTCTTTGAGATCCTGGCTGCAATACTTTTGGATAAATATTTGGAAGTGGGATTGCTGAATCATATGGCAGTACTATTTTTAATTATTTTGAAGAACCTTCATACTGTTTTCCATAGTGGCTGCACCATTTTGCATTCCTATCAACAGTGTGCAAACTTTCCAAATCTTCCATGTCCATCTCAACACATCATCTTTAGTTTTTTTCATCCTGATGCCTGTGAGGTGATATATTATTGTGGTTTTGATTTGAATTTCATGATTATTAGTGATGCTGGATATTTTTAATATACCTGTTAACCATTTTTATATCTTCTTCAGAGAAATAAATGTTCAAGTCCTCTGCTCATTTTAAAAATTGGGTTACTAGAATTTTTTTTAAATATTGAGTTATAGAAATTTCTTATATATTTTGGAGATAACCCCTTACCAGAAATATGGTTTATAAATATTTTATCATATTCCACAGGATCCTTTTTAACCTTATTATGCCCTTTTCTGTACAGAAGCCTTTTTAGTTTGATGTAATTCAATTTGTTTATTTATTGTTTTTGTTGCCTGTGCTTTTGGTGTTCTATCCATAAAATTATTGCCAAGACCAATTTCATGAAGTTTTTCTCAATTTGACTTCTTAGAATTTTATGAATTCAATTCTTAATCTATTTTAAATAATAATTGTTCATAGTATAAAGTCAGGATATAATTTTATTATTTTGGGTGTGTGTATCCATTTTTTCTAACATGATTTGTTGAAGAGACTATCCTTTTCTTTCCCCATTGTGTATCTTTAGCAGCCTTGTCAAAGGTCAGTTGACTGTATATGCAAAGATATATTTCGGCACTCCTATTCTGTACCATTGACCTTCGATGTCTGTCTTTACACCAGTATCATACTGTTTTGATTATTATAACTTTGTAATATATTTTAAAATCAAGAAGTGTGATACCTCCAACTTTGTTTCCTTTTTCAGTATTTACTTGGATGTTTTTGGTCTTTTATGGCTCCATATGAAGTGTAGAATGGTGTTTTATAAAAAACACCACTGGGATTTTGATAGGCATTGCATTAATCTACAGATAGCTTAAGATAGTATGGACATTTTAGCAATATTAAACCTTTTAGTCCATGGACTCTCCATTTGTTTGTGTCTTTAATTTCTTTCATCAGTGTTTTGTAGTTTTTGATATACAAATCTTCCATCTCCTTAGTTACATTTATATCTAGGTATTTTATTCTATTTTTTTTTTTTTTAGTGCTATTGTAATTTCCTTTTGGATAGTTCATTGTTATGGAAGTACAACTACTTTTTGTGTGTTGATTTTGTTTACTGAATTTGTTTGTTAATTCTAGCAGTTTGTCAGTAGACTCTATGATTTTCTGCATATAAGATCATGTCATCTGATTTATTTTTCCTCACTAATTTCTCTGGCTAGGACTCTCAGTACTATGTTGAAAAAAAGTGGCAAGAATGGCTATCCTTGTCTTGTTCGTGATCTTTAGAGGGAAAGCATCCAATTTATTATTCAGCATGATGTTAGCTGTAGGCTTTTTATATATGGTTTTTATGATGTTCAGATAATTTCCTTCTATTCCTAGTTTGTTGTGAATTTTTACAATGGATGTGTATTGAATTTTGTTAAAAGCTTTTTCTACATCTATTGACATAATCAGGTGGTTTTTAGCCTTTACTCTGTTAGTGTAGTATGTCACATCTATTAATTTTCATATGTTGAACCATCTTTCCATCCAGGGATTAATCATACTTAGGCTTTGTATATGGACCTTTTAATGTGCTATTGTTTGACTTGCTTATATTTGTTTGAATGTTTTGCATCTATATTTTCAGGCATATTGGCCTGCATCTTTTCTTGTGATGTCTTTGTCTGGCTTTAGTGTCAGTGTAATGCTGGCCTCCTAAATGAATTTGGAAGTATTTCTTATTCATCAATTTTTTGGAAGAGGTTGATACTTTAAATGTTTGGCAGAAATCACCAGTGCAGCCATCTGGTCCTGGGTTTTTCTTTGTTGGGAGGTTTTGGATTACTGATTCAATCTTCCAGTTATAGGTCTGTGCAGACTTCCTTTTTACTTACATAATTTAGTCTTGGTAGATTGTATGTCTCTAGAAATTTACTAATTTTTCTAAGTTCTCCAGTCTGTTGGCATAGAGTTGTTTTTAGTAGTCTCTTATAATTTTTTTTTAATTTCTGTAGCATCAGTTGTAATGTCTCCTCTTTTATTTCTGATTTATTTATTTATTTGAGTATTCTATCTTCTTTTTTAATATGTTTTTATTGATCTCAGAGAGAGAGAAGAGGAGAGGGATAGAGAGAGAGAAACATAAATGAGAGAGAAACATCCATCGGCTGCCCCCTGTACACCCCCTAATAGGGATGGAACCCACAATTCTGGCATATGCCCTGACCTGGTTCATGGGTCAGTGCTCAACCATGAACCACACTGGCTGGGCAAATCTTTAATCTTTTTTCCCCCTCTTAGTCTAGCTAAGGGTTTTTCAATTTTGTTTATCTTTTCAAAATATAAAGTAAAAAATAAGTTTCATTGATTTTTTTTTTCTATTGTCTATTTCATTTATTTCTGCTCTGATCTTTATTTTCTTTCTTCTGCTAATTTTAAGTTTAGTTTATCCTTTGGCTGCCTCCTTGGAGTGTCCAGTTACATTATTTATTTGAGATATGTCTTCCTTTTTCATGTTGGCATTTATTTCTATAAACTTCCCTCCTAGTACTTCTTAATAATTTTTAAGCACAGACACACACACACAAAAAAAAAAAGCCCAAGAATTTATTCTTCCTGTCATTGTGTTGTCACAAAAATGTCCTTATCTTTTAAAAGAAGTGCAAATTACAACACACATTTAGTTTGCTGTCTGATATTATATATCTGTTTGTATAAGAAAAGTACATTTCCCAAATTACATGACAACAATCTCAGAAGACAAACAATTTAACCTTTAGGACATCTACTATAGGTCTATAACTCTGGGAAGTTATAGTCAAAACCCTGCCTTCTAAGGCTCAGAAAGTGGGGAAGGCAAGAAAGAAATGAAATATAACAGAATGCTATATGCACCAGCCTGACAATTTTACAAGGAAATCCCTTTCCAAATTATGTACATTAAAAGATTTGCATTTAATTTTATGAAATGTATTTAATTCATTTTTATGAAATTAAAAAATAGTTTATTTCTGGAATTTTTCACTGAATAATTTTGGACTGTGGTTGACCGTGGGTAACTGAAACCAAAGAAAGCAAAAGGGGGGGGGGGGGGTAATTGCTCTAGCATCTATTTATTCTGAGTCCAGACAAGAGCTGATGCAAGCCTGAACTACAATTGGAGATGAAAAGGAGGAGACAAAATCAAGAGAAATGAACCTTAGTAGAATTATATTTCAATACAAATCTGTCATATTTGGGAGGTGAAGTTCATTCAATCCTGGCCAGCTGCCTGGAAGGGGGGATTTGTAAGGACAGGGTTAAAGGAGAAAGGCACAGCCCTCTGAGATGTCACTCAGTTAGTGGCCACAGGGACCAAGGCACCAGGATAGCCAAGTGCCTCCTAGCAGGTGCGAGGGCCTCATGCAGGTTGAATGCTGCTGACATGAAGAATCTGGGCCAGGAACTTCATGTCCCCTCACATGCCTTAGAGGATAAAGGAAGATAAGATAAGGGAAGGGAAGGGAAGGGAAGGGAAGGGAAGGGAAGGGAAGGGAAGGGAAGGGAAGGGAAGGGAAGGGAAGGGAAGGGAAGGGAAGGGAAGGGAAGGGAAGGGAAGGGAAGGGAAGGGAAGGGAAGGGAAGGGAAGGGAAGGGAAGGGAAGGGAAGGGAAGGGAAGAAGCGGGCAGTGGCTCTGTAGGAGGTGTGGACTAAGAAGACTGCAGGTATCAAGGCCAGGGCAGTGGGCTTTATCTCGATTGTGGCAGCAGCAGGAACCAGGGAGACAGAGGGGACATGTGAGAATGTCATAGGTACCAGGGCCCCACTGATGGCGGTGTACAGTCACCCCATGGTAATGTTTGCATTAGTGTTTACTGCACCTAACCTACAAGATGTGTTCCAGCACTGGTGTCGCTCTACTATAGAAGGCAACATTTCCAGTTCACCTAATGCAGTGGTTGGCAAACTGTAGCTCGCAAGCCACATGTGGCTCTTTGGCCCCTTGAGTGTGGCTCTTCCACAAAA